CTACCCTACTTTTTTCTGGGTCCCTATTACATGGAGCATTGTATTGTATCCTCTGACCTTCAGTCCACCAGTTTTCCTTCAACTCTTGATCTATTTCACCCATGTTTCCTTTTATTGGTGCGTTGATGATATCTACATTAATGGCTACAATTGATATGCACTGGCTCATCTCTACCATGCTCCCCTGATGGTGGCAGATGCAGGGACACTTGGATATTTGGTTCTCACCACCAGCACTGGCTACTGGTTCCTGATGGTGGCTGGCAGTTATGTCCAGGCAGTTGTATCCTGCCATTGGCCCACCACTTTTCCTCTCTGTTTGATTGCCTGCCCTGCTTGGCAATTACCCTCTGCTACTGCTCCTGAAAGCATGGTCATCTTTATCTCTGTCTAGAATATCCTCCAGAACTCTTTTTCAGAATTGGTCTGATGGTAATTAATTCCTTAAGTTTTTCTTTATCATGAAGGCATCTTATGTCTCCATTAACTTTGAGAGATAGTTTTGCAGAGTACATAAATCTAGGTTGGAACCTCTTTTCTTCAGGACTTGAAGCATTTCACTCCAAGCTCTTGATGGTTTGTGTTGAGAAGCCTGTCATTATTCTGATGGGCTTTCCTTTATAGGTGATCTAGTTATTTTCTCTAACAGCCTTTAATATTCTCCTCTTATTCTGAATTTCTAAGACCTTGATTATGACATGTCTGGGAGTAGCTTTATTTTAGTTTTGGGTAGTTGGAGTGCTATATGCCTCACTTATCTATATGCCAGATTCTCTTCCCCTGCTTAGGAATTTTTCTGTTATTATTTCTATGAATAGTTTTTTGTGGCATTCGTGTTGATCTTTGCTTTTTTATTGACACCTATCACTCTTAAACTATTTTTCTTTGCATTGTCTTGCAGAGATTGAACTGTTATTTCCTGGTTCCTGGTTATCTTTAAGAGATATTTCCTTTCATGATCACTAGTTGAAATCCTGTCTTCAAGGTCTGAAGGTCTATCTTCAGTTTCAAATAATTTTGCCAACTTTCAATGGAATTCTTAATCTCCTGGATATCTCTTTGAATCTGTTTGATATATTGCAATTCTTTCCTGTATTTTTCATTCAAGGTTTCCATCAACTAACAACGCTCCTCTTTTTTATCTAGTCTTCTTTAGGTATGCTCACCATTTCTTTCATTACGTTTGTCATTTGTTCTTTTACCTGAGATGTTTTTTCTGATATGATTACTTTTATAGCCTCATGAATTTGTTTATTTCAGTTGCTATCTTTCAGAAATTTCAAGTGTGTGACTTCCAACTTCTTTTGTTTCTGTGTCTCCTAGACTCATTCTGTATGGGCTGGAGATTTGAAATTGCCTTTTGCTTCTTCAACTTGACATTTTCCTACATTCCTCTTTACAAGCCAGTGATGGAGTCCCAGGCCCTTCCCATGTTGGCTGTCCAACTCATGTAGGGGAATAGTTTGAGCACCTGGTTTTCTCCTATCCTAGGTTCCCAGAAATGCATTAGGGTTTAGGGATGACTTTTTCAGCTACTTGAAGTACAGCTACTCCAAGGCTCCCCTGATAGTGGCAGATGTGGGGGACCTTGGCTAGCTTGTTCTCCCCACCAGCACTGGCTATTGGTCCCTGATAGTAGCTGGCAGGCCCACAGTGGTATCTATGTTCAGTTTCTTCTTCTGGTGTTTGTAGTTCTGTGCTCGTAACCATGCTGCATTACAGAGATATTCTGGGTATGGACCTGATCTTGGCCTCTGGATATGGGGACTGAGACTGGTCATCTGTCAGTGGAGTTCTCCAGAGTCCAACTACTGACTCTTCACTCCTGCTTCTATGTTACTGGCCTCACTGATTACTTCACCTTCCAGAGGTGTGTGCATCTGTGCACCAGGCTTTTGTCCTGGGTGTTGGGGTTCCCGTCAGTTTTGCATTCTTATAGCTGCCCCACCCTCCAGGGTGCAACGGATGAGGCCCATACACAAACTCAATGACTTCAATCTGGCCTGTCCTCTGGAATGGAATGGAGGCTTGCATAGCATGGACTTTCCTCCAGCTGTTGTTCACAACATTTTTTCACTCCTAGGTTCATCTTTACTAAGCTCCTCCTTGGAATCTCTCATACTTTTTATTCAACAGACAGCAACCTCAATCATGTGACTTAGTTTAGCAAATGAAATGTGAGCAGAAGTGTTTTACCTTATAATTATTCAGAAATGTTAAAAGCTGCTGTGTTGTTCCACCATTTCTCTTCCTTTTACCTTAAGAATGACTTTGCTGCATCTGTCCAGGCCCCAGAATAAACACATCGAATTTACAGCCAATCTAGAGTTAGTATGCTCTCTGAATATGATAATTTTCTGTAATAAGCCAATGAGATTGGGGGTTATACTTTATTACCATAATATAGCTTGCTGAAAGCTGACAAATGGAAGGACCTACCTAGAGACATTTCTTACTCTCTTACTCTCTTTTGGTCTTAGTGACACCACAAAGAATAGGTGGGATGAAATGTGAACCTTGGGACTGTCTGGAATATTTGGTGGGATAATGTCTGGAGAGCACCTAGGATGGTGTGAACTTAATAAATATGCATGTCTGCTCCATTCTGACTCCTTCCCTGCCAAAGTTATTCTGACTTCCACAGTAGTGGTGGGAAACCACAGACAATGTCAACTAGGGTCTTGACACTTTGTCAAGAACAAGTCATACATAATCTCTGCCTCACAAAGTTTGTGATCTATCTTCTAGTAAGAAAGTGCAGACAAGCATCCTTGTTTCCTCATACATCAGTGTGACTTCATCATCCAAACAAAAAGTTAACAAAATGTGATTAGAATGAATCTGGGGAATGCAAGTGAGCTATTTGCATCATTTCCTGCAGTCCACTGCTACCAACAACATTCCTCCTGAACTTACGCATCCTACCACCACTGAAGGCTAAATTAGATTGTCCTTCTTTGTGCATCCTTTAGTTCCCCAACTCCCAAACTATTATTCTGGATCCAATTTGCTAGTTTGTGAATCAGTCTTTCACTGAATTCTAGGATGAGAGAGACAAGAAATTGGACCTGCTTTATCATATTCCTAGAAACTGGCTTATGCCTGAAACATGGTGGTACTTATCAACATTTTTTGAATGAACCAATTTGATAAACTAATTGCTTTATGAATTCCCAGTGCACAGTGAGAAATTTGTTATGCCAGTTACCCAAGGCTCCACTCAATCTGTAAAGACAAGTTTTTAGCAACAAGAAATTTTTCACTATGAATTGGGAGTTTGATTTACATATACCTACACTCATTAAGCACTTAGAGCCCACTGGAAATTCAAATGAGCAATCCACAAATTAAATTATCAGCTCCTGATTAAGTGGGTGTTGAATTTTATTAAAACCAGTAAAATACATCCCAGAAGTTAATTAATATCTTGAGAATAACCATGAACTTCATGAATCTGAAAACTGTCAAAACAGAGTATTTGAAATATATTCAGGATAGTTTCTAAGTGTCTAATACACATTCCCATAGTTCTTTACATTATATTAATCAAAGATCAAGTAAGCTATTTCCTGAAAGGAAATGAACAGAATAAGTTAAATCTTTTTTCATCTTTTGAAAGGACCCCAAAGTTGCCAGAATAAAAACCAGAGTAAGGCCATGTATCAAGTAATGCTTACTCTGGGGTGTCCAAAAAGTTCTGTTCTTTGAGGTTCTTTTTTAAATGAGTGGTTCTTGTTCTATAATTTTTACATAGCACTTTTATCATCAAACTGATTTCAAGATGTGTCTTTCTTTGATAGAGAAATATTTCCCCATACTATTCTCCTGGCAATTCTGCTTGGTTTTTGTTTGTTGTTTGTCTGTGTTTTTAAATGGCACAGGCAAAAGCAAATCACAATTTGAGGGTAGTTCATCAACCTTCCTTTCACTGCTCAGTGAAATTCTCTTCATACTCATCACCTTTGTTCCTGTGACCTTGAGATGCACTCCAGAAAGCAGGATAAAGGGCATGTAGGATTGCCTTGCTCAATTGTAAGGTTTAATATGTTCAAAAAATTTTCAAGTTGAAGAACACTAAAAAATTAACACTGTCTTCTCAATTCAAACAAGTTAAATAAAAGGATGCAGTATAATGCTGGAGTTTGAGGAAGCTAGATGGATTGCCCACATGAGTTTCCAAGCCTTTTCAGTTTTAAAGGGTGCATCAGGCAGTCTACAGACCATAATTAGCTTTTCTTAAAATTCATTTTATGGTTCTTCCTGCCTGAATTCTAGTTCAAATAATCTTAGTGCTTTCCCCCACAATATTAGGGAACTGAACCATAAAAGACCCAACGTTTCAGTCCCACAAGCACCAACAGAAAACAGCTGGTCAGCCCCTAAGCAGAGTTCCTACTATACAGTCCCTCCTCCGAGTTTAACTTCTGTGGTTTTTACGGCAAAACTGAGTGTTCCGAGAAGGATAAGAAGAGGACAAAGTCCTTGGCCAAGCTTAAATGCCAACCCTCTGAGAATTCACACCAGAAAAACAACCCATCTGCTTCAGCAGGTCTCTCAGATCCAACCCACCCACACCCACACCCACGCCCACACCATCTCCTTTTCACTGCTTTCCCCACCTCTTCACCCCGCTTCCTCTTTGACCCACCCTCAATTTTTTCCACCTCTCCCTCTCCTTTCTTTCTTCTCAACCTGATCTTTAATGGACCCTGTGGATTTTGACCATAATTTTCCCTTTTGAGGAATGCCAGTTCACCCACAAAAAGTTTGCAAGGAGGAGCCACCCACTGCTGTCCCCTCCTTCCCACGCAGCCTTCCACAGAGGTGAACAAGTCTGTCTCTGTCGCACCAAAACAAAGTCTGTCTCTGTTGCACCAAACGTCCCTTCTTGGCCTGGGCCTAGGCCAATTTAGGACACCAGGGGTGGGACCTTGTCCAGACCTCCAGCTCTATAAAGCAGATGTACAGCAGGACAGCGCTGCCCTCTAGTGTCTGCAACCCGGAACCCTGAAGGCGCCTTCAGCTCAGGAATTTAGCGAGCCTGGTGCACCCCGGAGTCCGACCCCAGTTCTGTTCCAGCACCACCTCCTGCTCTGCGCCCGGGTTCACCTTTTCATCCCCCCACCCCTTTCTCCGTCCAGCGGTGTCCTGCGTGGCTGCAGCCTCCGCGGCTGGCTGAGCGCTCTGCCCTCTGCATCTGCTCCTCCTCCTCCTCTTCAGTCCCCCACTCGGCGCAGCGCAGCGCGCCGCGCTCCGGGCTCCTCTCGCCGCAGCCCAAGAGCCCTGGCGGACTGGGGCTCCGGAGGGGAGTGCACCAGAGCCGGGCTTTGACAGAAGCGGGGCTTAGATAGAGCTCGAGAGATAAAGGAGCTGCTCGGAGTGAGACTTCTGGAGCCAGCGGGACGCCCCAGTTCCCCCAGTGCGACGCGGCTGCACTCACCATCCGCAAGGTGAGGGGCGCACACCTTCCAGGCTTCTCTCATCCCTCCCCCGGGCAGGGGCTCCAGCTCTAGCTGGGGGATTTTTGCTCCCTCTGAGGTGCAAAGGTGGAGAGCGTTAGGGCTCCAGGTGTGGGGAGGGCGATTATAGGGGTCTGTGCTAGTCTCCTGGAGTTCTTAGTATAGAATGCATTTCTCCTTCAATCCCTCAAATTTGTGAACATGAGTATGGATTGATGTTATATGTAACTGTGGTTTAAGAATTTTATGCTGCTTCCGTGCAAAAGGATTTAAGACAGTTTAAAGATTAAATTATTTTGGAAGGGATGTTAGAAAGGAAAAAAGAAGGAAAAGCAGAAGAAAAAAGATTTGAGTAGGAACCGCACACGAAGATGGTTTGCTCCCGGGGACAGCAGCAGGGCGAGGTGATTTCAAAGCCAACATCGATTGTAAAACCTTTGATTAGAAATGACTGCAGGATTCCTTACTCAGTCCTGATAAACAAAATTCTCAGCCACATACCCAAAACACCCAGGTGGGGTATTTTACAAAATAAAGCTCGGTCGTGTGGCTACAGATGAGAAGTTTGATCTGAAGCTATTTCCACCCAATACTGTAAGGTGAGGCGCTGGCTCCCGCACAGGATCCTAAGGTACATGGTTTTGCGTTGTTAAAATGTATGTACTTTGATGGATTTCTGCCCACATCGTTTCCGGAAAGGACCTTGTGTTTAACCCAGCGTTGTCCTTGAGTTGAAAGGATGAAGTAGAAGGTGTCAGAATAGCAGGCACTTCTTCCTAACCTTCCTGATTATCTTTTTCTTTTATTTTTTTTTTCCCCCTCTTGCACCAAATCTCTCAGTCAGGGGAGAAGTCGGGGGGGGGGGGGCGGGAATAGACTATCAAATGAGATTTTCTTTCCAAATAATTAAGGCTTCATTTACCCTCCTTCCTAGGTATTCCCTCAAATTACCAAGCAGTGCATGATGCTACTGGTCTGAACTTGACATTGCTTTAGAATGTACATTTACCACAGTTGCACACTGGGACAATGTGCATCACCTTGAACACCCAGATGGTCTTGTAAATCACGGGCTTGTCTGATTTAACCCTGTGCTTGAAAGACAAAGTAGGCCTCTGAGTCTGGCTCCCGGTGCAGCCTCTTCCATGGGGAGGATATTTGAAATACCTTTGAAATACAGAGAAGAAATCATAAGCCCTTCTTCTCTTGCTAATGCATTTATTTCTCACTGAATTAAATAAGATAGCCCTGTGCTCAAGAAATATATGAACAGAGGCATCTGAGGTCCACTGAACAACTGAACGAATCAGCCTACCGATCCTCTCACTCCCTTCAAAGCACTAGCTTCCAGCCTAAGGCTGTAATGATGATGGTGACCTCCAGAGCAGCACTCAGCTCAATTTCTGCATCATGCTTAAAACAAAATGTGTTGCTTATTTCTAAAATTGCATATTGCTTCACAACTAACCATTTTTTTGCATGGAGGTGAGAGAAGTACTCGAGTCCAGATATTTTATCACCAAGAAAGCTATGAAGAGCACTTTATTCAAATCTTGTTTGTCATTGTTAGAATTTAAGTATCATGTCATCATTACCTGACAGGAGCTAGAGAAATTCCAAGGACTACTACAGATCTCTGTAAATTGAGCCATAATGACAAAAATAGAGAAGAGTTTCAAAATCTGTACCCTTGACTCTGGCCCTTAGGTATATGCATGTTGAAATACTCCTTTAAGTAGCTGTTCATGAAAATTTTCAGAGATGTATATACACTTCACAGATCATTTTTACAATAGAAAGTATTCAAATGAGCAGTGTGTGCCCAGCTGACATGTGTATTCTAGAAATCAACATCACAAACTCAGTAAACTCACTTTATATTCTTTCTCTTTGTCTGCCCATGAGAATTCCACACAAGATACATTCTAAGACTAGATGCTGATATGTATTTTCCTGGACCTTCCATTCCTTTGGGCAAGTGTTGAGACAGGAGACATAGCCTTCTTTACAACTCATCTTGATGACACTTTTGCCACTTTGCTTTTTTAGAATATTGGCTTTCTATTTCTCCTTCTGCATGCCTAGTAAGGAGCAATGGTATTAACAAATTTTAACTTTTCTGGGGAGATTCAAAGTCAGAGATTCTCAGAAGTGATATCCTGGAAGTCAAAATCCAAGCCAATCTCTAGTCCAGGTGACAGTACAGTACAATTCCTTTCCTTGCTGTTTGTTGGAAATGTTACAGGAAATGGAAATAAGATATGTCACTAACAGCATCTTGTCTCTGCCTGAATCAAGCACCAACATGTTGACATACTACTTCACTGCTAAAAGCATCACCAAGATACCAAGACTTTAAATGGAAACTGGATCACTGCAAAACTCCTCAGCCAATCCTGCACTTTGGGGTCATCTTCCAACACTCAACCATCCAGTTCCCTACTCTCCACCTTTACACACAGAACATTTTTTTCATATTTATATTGACCCTCTCAAAATTTTGTCTCTATATTTTAAAAATACATCTAATATTTTTATACAGGGACTCTTTCTATTTATGCAGCTTATTTACTTGATAAAATAAATTTGAGTCTGCATGATAGGGAACTTCAACCAAATAGAAACTTATTGTTCATACCATATGTTATCAAGACCATCTCAGGGCAGGGAGGAGTTGGGCATCTTGTGCTTTATGCTCCTTTCTTGTCCACTTGCCACATTTTTGCATGCATGAAATTATATAAGCATTATCTTTAGGTAAATACACAATAAAATGCTGTATGGTGAATAGAAAAATAGAGAGAAAAAAAAGAAAAAGAGGAATCACTTGATTTGGAATGGAACAAAAGCTCCCCCCACCAAGATATTTTCTTAACATTTGTTAATCCTTAACATTTGAAGCCCAAGGCAGTCAATTTTCCAAAATCTATGTTCCTGAAAATAAAGAGATTTTATCACTATCCCACCTAATTTTCACAAAGTATTTATTTTCTCATTTCTTGCATTCAGATGTTTAGGAGAATGGGAGAAAAAAAGAATCAAGTTATATTATGTACAGGTACAAATTCACTGTAATGAATGTAATCATGTATAACTGAAATGCACCAATAAACTTAATTAATTTAAAAAAGAATCTAAAATCCAGAATCTATAAAGATTATTGATTCAAACAATTGGCATATTCCTGAATCATGACAAATAAGTAAAGTCCTTGAGAATTACAGTCTTGACACAGTTTGATACTACAGTAGTCCCCCCACTTCTTCTAAAGTGCCCCCAGTGAACATCTGACTTTGTAGATAGTCTATTGCCATGTAGTACCAGAATTAATCTGTCCTGCCATATTTTATGTTCTGATGCCTCTTTTGTATTGCTACACTTGCATTTTGTTGTCATGATAAGTAAATAATGATTACTTAAACATAAGCATTGCAGCACCACAACAGTTAATCTGATGATCTACATGAGCACTAACAACTGGCACAGGTAGCATATGCAGCATGGGTATGTTGGCTGAAGTAATATAACTCATGTCCCAGGTAGGACAGGGCAGGAAGGTACAAGATTTAATCACACTACTCAGAACAGCATGCACAACAAAACTTATGAATGGTTTACTTCTGGAATTTTCCTTTTAATATTTTAAATCACAGTCACAAGTACCTGAAATCATGGAAAACAAAACTAAATAAAGCAGAGGACATGTTGCTACATTTAATTTTCATATTAGCTCTCTTATTTTTTCTCATCTGTTGTAAATTATTAGGTTCACTGTGATCCTTGCTTTACTGGAGTGCATGGTTGAAAATGTCATGGTTGTATTCTCCAAAAACAGCTCAAGTGAAAAATACAGTTAGTGGAAACTTTTAATAAGTTGTTAGAACTCTGTCGTTGATCATACTCAACATGTGCAGTTAAAGTACTAGGAAGACAAAATCCTTCGGAGGTCACTGATCAACCCAATTCTCTATCTGAGTTGAGTTCTCTAAGAAACAAACTCTGAGCTAAGATATAATGTATGGGATGTTTATTAGCAAATGACCTTGGGAACTATGTGAGAGGAAGGCAAGTAAACAAGATTGAACAGAGGATACTGAACTGGTAAATGAAACCCACGACAGTTTCAGTCAATCTCATGGGGAGCTCTGAGCTAAAATGACCCACCAGAGTTATCCCAGGATCTACCAGATTTTTCTCCCATCAGCCACTGAATATGTTCTGCCCCAGGAAGGCATAATCAAGGGTGAGGCGTCTTTCTATGGCTGAGGAATTACTGAAGGAAATGAAAGCAGGACTATTCTGACAGCTACCCAGCAGCTGGGATTTGCCCCTTTTCTGGAAGGACAGATGTGAATGTGTATCTTCGTGTATATCCTCACAATACTAAATGCATGCTCTACAACTGACCTGTATCCCCAGCCCTTAGGAATTTTCAGCATGGACTTCAACCTTGGCGGATTAAACTAAATAACTTTCTAGGTTATGTCCAACTCTGATATCTACATTTACTCATTTCATTGTACCCAAGTTTCACTGAAGAATTTATAAATTATGGTAAATAACCTGCCATTTTACTTTAATCTAGCTTTTCATCTCAGGCTGTATATATATCACTTGAACTGCTCAGTAGGTGGGATGCAGAGATCCTTGTAAACTTATATCGGCTCTGCAATGAATAACTTCTGTTTGGAAGCAGAGAGGGTGTACTGGTATATTTCCAACTTTCTTCAGTAGAACTTTTTACATGATTATAAAAGGATACTGTGTATGTACACATTCATGTGTGAGAGGGAGGGAGGGACATTTTGGCATGGGAGAGAGAGGAAAGAAAGAGAGAAAGAGAAACCAGTATTTAGTGCTTAGTTTAGGTTATAAAACTGCTCTTTTATGACTAGACTTGCATGACAACTGAAACATAGCAGAAAAAACTGCTTATGAAAAACCACCCCTTACAACCTCTTCCTCTTGCACAAAGATGTTATGTTGTGCAG